GGGCGGCAGCAGCAGCGGCGGCGGCTGCACAGGCGGCGGCGGCAGCCGCAGCATCACACACTTACACACACAGGGGGCGGAGCCTGGACAGCTCGAAGCCGCGACATGGAGCAGGCACGTTATCATCCCTGGATCTGGCAAGGGCTCGCCCCGCCTGTCTGCGACTTTCAGACACCTCCCCCCAACACACACACACACACACACACACACACACACACACACACATACACACACAGTCAAAAATCAGCTGATGGGAGCTGCCGCAGAGCCAAAGACCCAGACCTGGTCCAGGACCCGGAGGCAGTTACAAAAACCGAGAGGGGTCTGGTGGGATCAGGATGGGGGCTAGAGAAATGGGATCTCCTCCTAATCCCCGAATCCCCACTACTGGGATGTACTATTTTCCACCAGAAAACAGTATACAAACTGCTTGAAGGCGTGGGTAGAATCCTGCTGCCAGTGAGCACAATCTCTACCCAGACATTCCCCTCAGAACCCCTAGCACCGGTGCAAAGGTGCAAACTTTTGAGTGTCCCCCACATCCCTTGGGACGGAATCGGAGGGCACATGTGTCCACAGAGGACAAGGCGGTCACCTTCACCGTTTCTGTTCTACTGCACATCCCAGCCCGAGTTCATGCTGCAGTGTCCTGCTGAGATGAAGGCTAATGAGCCCTTAGTAGGTCATCAGGCTGAGGGCGCTGAGTTCAGTAGGCTGGAAGGGGAGGGGCTAAGGATGGCCCCTTGAGTGGTCCGTGGGGTAAACCGCACATTGCTAGCTTCCTCCAACAGCCACCATGTGCCTTGGGGAAAAGCCTACTGCATTTTCCTTCTCAGAGAAAGGGGAAAACCACTGGGTGTATGCCCACTATCCCACGCACCATCTGCCTCTCTGCCTTCTGGCTTCAGAATAGTCTCTCTGCAAGTGGGGGGCTTATTTGCCCCCTCCTCCTTCCAGCCTGCGCTTCTAGTTCAGGAAAGGATGAATCCATTCCTTTAGCTGTTCCTGTGAAATGAAAAGTTTCCCCACCTACTTAAGAGAAAAGGCAGCAGGGTACTACAAGAGCTTGTGAACTCTGGCGTCTTGGTCCTTTGGTTTGCCTTCCTGCTGCCCTTATAGGGAGGGTGCAGTACTGTTAAGATTCAGGAAAAGCTGTAGTTACTATTGACAGAACAAAATGCTGTTCAGCCTCAGTTTCCCCACCTGTAAAACAAGAGACAGCCTAGTAGTCATCTACCTTATCCTGCTCTGTCTTTTCCTATTTAAAAGATTTTTTGTTATATTATCCCAGGCACTCAAAATCATCCAAAATTGCTTTGCTTTTTGTTCCATAATCAACAGGAATTCCTACTGGGTAATTTGCTCAACATCTGACATTTCCCCTAGAGAGGAAATTCAGATTGGAATCTAGAACCTGGGAAGTCATCCACTGTCTGAATATGTAGAAATTGCCAGAACTCCACCCTTGAGTGGTTTGAGGATAAAAGCCAGAAGGAGCTTCAGGATCTAGTTTCTTTAACATTATTTGTAAGGGAAAGAAAGCACATTGGCAGCATACAGAAACTGGCCTCTAAAATGCTGCAACAATGTCCACTGGGATTTTGCCCGGATGTCTGTTTGTCATGGGACCAAGACACTTGACATACACTCATTGATTGACAATCAACCAATGAACAGCCATAGGGAGACCACATCTCAACTCTACTTGTCAATTTTTCAAGTCTTTTGCTAGAGGATGTACAGCATTTTAAAATAGTTCAGGGCTTTCTGTGGGTGTTTTTTTTTTCTTTCAAGTTATCTATGCATCTTGTTTATCTTAGGTCTTAGATTGTTATTCCTTAGAATGACAAGAAATGACTCTCAGACCATGGCCTTCAAACTTTACACCCTCAGTAAAAGATGCTCAAATTGGATTTGATTGCTAATAATGACAGCCACAGTGGATTAGTACTCGATCTGCTTAAAAATCCTTATGGAAAACCAGAACATCTACAATTAACATTTAAATAGTGATTATGGTCAACTGATATCTGGTTTATTTTTATCAGGATGATCTATTGATTGAAGAAAGACACATAAGCAATTTCCTAAATAAATTCTCATCAGAAATAAAGCTGCTCCTTGAAGAGTTCCAGATTCCATCACCCCCCAATCAGCAGGACAGAGAAGCAGAAGCAGAAGGAGCCAGCAAGAGGCAGCACTCGGAACAGAAGTGCCTGCGGGAAGGAGAGAAGAGACAGTGGTGCTGGCTGAGTCTTCAAAGAGGGGCAAGGGCTTTCCCTTCATGAGATCAAAGCCAAGCAGGAAGGCTGGGCTGTGTGAAAGGCTCTCCCCCTCCCCACCACCCTCCTCCAACAGGGAAGAAGGTGAGAGGAAGCATGGAAGAGCCTGAGCTCTTCCTGATGCCAGCCAGCCCAGGTCCAACACAAACTCACTACTGGAAGGTCTGCCTTCTTAGAGCCAAGGCTAGTTTTGACCCTTACTTCTGTGCTTGCCCACCCTGCTTCTCATAGCAGCAGAAGCTGGTACTATGGCTGTCTCTCAGATCTGTAGGTGATCGTGATGCATCCAAACCATTCTTTCGTCACAAAAAGCTGCCAATAGAGAAAGAAGCACGGGTTTCAGAGACAATAAGAACAAGGAGAGGTGAACTGGCCAACTGGGGTCAGGCTCTCTCACTCCACTTCCTGAGCCAACTTCTCTAAGGTGAAAGGCTCCTCTTCGCCAGCTGTTTTCCTTGCTTTCACTATCAAAGGCCCTCCCTGACCTAGCTGGGCCTATTTCTGGCCATAGTTCCACAGCTGTTCATTTCAGTATTTGGCACCTGTAGACTCCCTTGGCTTTTCCTCATCCTTTGCTCTGTTTTCTTCTGGCGTTTTGACTACCTTGCACCCTACACTCCACCAACCTTCCCCATTCACCAAATCTTCAGCTAAAGAAGACCGCTAAGAGGACCGTTAAGCAGCCTTTGCAGATAGCACAGGATCAAAAGTGGAACTCCATATCCCAAACCACTTAGGTAAAAGCAGGTAAAAGAGGTTTGATTTTAGAGAAACGCTGATCCTAAGATCTTCAGAAGGGAGATATTTTACTTGAATTATGTTTAAAGGAGTTTAATTTGTAGTCTCCAAGTACTAGTCTTCATTTCAAAGAAACGGGAATCCTCCAGTCCTATAGTTTTACTAAAGGCGCTGTCAGATTCTGATACTGCCTGAAATTAAAATTAATTTAAAATAGTTTCAACACGCATGTCAGTTTCAGGATATGAACAAATTAACAGTCTATGGTATATATGTCATCCTATCACACCTCGGGTTTCTGTATTTGCTTCTGACTTGGGATGCAGTAAGGCTGATGTACTTCCTATAAGAAATTTTGATCTGGGTTAACAGTCATGTTAGCCAACCTGTTGGAAGCAATTCCATGAGCTCCAAGGGAACATCAAGGACCTTTCTGTCTGAGGTGTAGTGGCTCCCTTAGGGTTTATCCAACTCATTGGTAGGGATGGTCTAGGAATGGATTTCGACTTGGTTCAGGTCATAAACCTTATGGATATGCATATTCATATATATGTATATATACATATTCATATATGTGATTTTTTCCCACCACTTCACTTTGTACTCTGAATCTCAATCCTGTATTAATGAACTCTTTGGTTATCATGGACAATGACCCTATTTCCGTGCTCTTCCAAAATCTCTGGTTTCCTATTGGGTCTTAAATATCAGACATAATATAACCTTAAGTCAATTATGTGCTTAGTAATAGTTTACAATAGTTGAATGATGATACAGTTCTGATTTTCTATAGCAGGTTGCTATAATTCCGTGTACACATTTAGCATGACATTAAAATAAGCAAGAGTAATTGAGCTTTTATTGCATATCAGGCCCTGGACTAAACACACATTATTTCATTTGCTCCTCAATGTGATTCTCTGATGGAGGTACTACTATTAAGCCTCTTTTGCAAGGCTAACTTACATAACAGCACCATTCTGCACCAAAGGATTTCTATCACTGTAGCTATGGAAGGTATGCAAGGCATTATCTCCATTTGATAGCTGAGAAAACTCAGGTTAAGTGGCTCCCTGAAGGTCACATAGTTGCCCAATTGAGTAGCTGAGACTGGGACACAATCAAGGAGTTACATCCAGCAATTGTTCTATTTGATGCATTATGTTTTATAGTCCTGTGGCCTAGGAGTTTGCTATTAGAGTGGCATCAGTTAACTGTTAGATTAAAAAAATATTCTCATGGTGCAATTTCCCTGATGTCAACTGTGGCTGAGTCAGGGGAGGCAGTTGGCTGAGCTATTTGCTTATATTAAAGAAAGTCAGTGTGACAGACAACAGGAAGCAGGGAGATGATGGAGCAATTCTTGCTTCATTGTATAAGGAGAGTAGGGTGCTTCTTTTTCCTGGAGATTAGAAATCTAGTGCTCCAAAACCACTTTGGTCAACTTCTGAGGAATACCTGGTAGAACATGGTAAACCACCCATGGGGAATTGTCTTCTGCATAAGACCACCATGCGACTTAACTGCAAACCCATGGTTACCTCTATCCTAACTTATTGGGAAATCCAGTAACTTATGGAGAAATGAAGGGGATAGTGAATGATCCAGGTACGACACTCCTTGGCCCCTTGATTTGAAGTTCTTATGAAGGGGTATTCTCTAATCCATGACCTAATGTAGACTGCACATCTATAATGATGACACAGACACGTGAAGCGCCTTGTTGGAGGCCCAGAGCAGTCATCTTTATGCTTGACCAATGGAGGGAGTTGTCTTCCTGAAGCTCCAATCAGTGATTCTGGCCTGTACTGTTTAACCATTTTAACAGTGTGGCTACCAGAACTCTTTTGCCTGATATTGCTCCCCAGGGCTCCAGGGC